AAGCTTATTTTCCCTTTGCTTGAAAAATCGACATTTTGATACAATTTTTATTTACAAAATAACGACTGTGTTTTTATCTTTTCTCTTAGGAGTYCTTCCTCCTTCTGCGGAGTAAACAGATTCACTCTTTGCTGAGTATGCAGTGAAGGGAAAAGTACTGTTGAATGAATATCTTCCCACAGTTAGTATGTTTTTAAATGAAATATATCTGCTGCTCCTTCAAACCAGCAGAGGGAGTTTTCTTATCCAAATAATTTTGAAACTTTTCAACACCRTAACATTTTGTCAGTAACTTATGTCACCTGGCAGGAGCTGCTGCTGAAAAGAAAAGGTGAAATTTTACAATCCAGACTGTTTAAATCCTTAGTGCTAGAGGCTATTTGCTTCCAGTCAATTTTTATGGATATCATTGTGCAAGAAGTTGCTGCARTGAAAAATGCACTAGAGAATTAAAAGCACGAAACATCAACTCAGCTGGAATGTTTGAGAGCAAACTATCTGGTTAAAGGGGGATGTACAATTATTGCAGTGCATGTGCCATTCAAATAYGCCTGAAACCGCAGTGAGGTAACAGCTGAGACATAATTTTTTGGGCGGGAAAAAAAGTCAGTTCCTCTATTTTTTTTTGCACTCTAATGAGAAGCTTTAAAGTTCCTGGTATACATTTCTTTATTTGGAAATAATAGAGTCATTTTAAGATGACCACAGTGGCAAAAGAGTTCAAGTGAAATGTTCACTGCAGCAGTACTAGGGAAAGAATTTCATTATTACTAGACTTTTTGTGAGAGAAATCAGCTCCAGTGGTGACAAATTGTATTGTTCTTATCTTGTGTTATAAGCCTGTGTAGCAGGAACTATAGAGTGATCTGTCTTGTAAAACGAAATTATAGCAGTTACTGACGTTAACAGTGGACATTATCTTCATCTGCAAGTATGTCACAACTCTTCCTCTCTCAAAAACAAGCTAAAAATTCAGATATTCCATTAAGCTCAATCATAAAACATTTCAAATGCTAATCTTCCATTTTAAAAAGTTTTGTTGAATAGATTTGTGATAAAATTATGTTATTTTGGGGAACCTAATTTGGTTTGAAAATACTCTGAAGYAAATATGCACTTTTATAATTCCATAGAGACAAAATATCAGTTCTCTACACCTTGAACTGAAAGCAAGTTCTAAATAAAAAGYAAGATCCAGTGTTCCCTGTATATCTATCTGTATATGAGTAAAACTATTTTCAAAGGATTGCATTAATATCAATTATTGGCTAATATCCAAGGGAAAATGAATCATTAATTTTTTCAGGTTTTACTGAAGTGGAAAATGAGGAAGGAATTCATTGTAGGCAATTCAGAAGGTAATTTTCAGTAAATAATCATTTAGCACATGACACCAGACGTAGAGCATGGAGAAAAGAAATGAAGTAMTCACGTGGTTTAACAGTTGAGTGAAAATAGTCAATAGCCTAGCACAGATGTATTTTCACGTATTATAGTTGCCAACTCATATGAGAATGCTAAATATGGGTCCTCGTGCTGCTCTGAGTCACACTTGAGCAGCTTCTTGCACTTTTGCGAACCTCAGTGCTGTGAAGTCTTGTCAAACTCAACGAAGCATGAGGCAGACACAACTGCCAGTGCCACACACCTCACGGGCCACAGCCCAGCTTTAGACAGAAAACTGCACAGGCTGCAGGTGATGGATTCAGCAGCATCGCAGGCAGTCACCCACAGAGAAAGAGACTTGGGCTCAGCAGCCACCTCAGGAGCCATCCCATTTCTGCCTCACTGGTACTGGAAAAGGGATGAAGGCTAAAGCACAGAGCCAGTAGATGCTGGTGAATTATCATCAGAGCAGATGGGTCAGAATAAAACTCAGGTTTTGTACTCAGGCTGCTAAGAAGCCTTGAGCCAGCCCTGGCCAGAGTTATGAAGGCACRTTGAAATAAAACAGAATTTCACAAAGCAGTATCTTACCTGTCCACAGCATAAGGACCAAGAACCAGGGCTTTGCTCTCCAGACTGCTCTAGGCTGAAGGGAGGAGCAAAGGTAGCTTTACTGTCAGCATGAGTGAATATAACCTAGAATGAGATTTGGCCCTAGCTCAGACCAGCTTCCAGAAAGAAGGCTACATGGAGCTCCTTYGATGCTCTGTAAATATGTACACTATGAACATTTTATTTCTCATCTGTTGTTTGCGCACACTTAGCTTTGTGGCAGAGTTTAAAAAAGTAAAAACTGGTACATCAGAACAAATTTGTAATTCCTCTTGTCCTTTATCCTTTTTTTTAGCATGTAGCTCTACAAAGGAAGTGGAAAAAAGTGATRCAGCAGACAGATGAGGATAATTCAYCCTCATGGAAGTTATTTTCTGAATTTTTATTTGGAGTGACTTCAGACTCTAAGGCTGATGCTTCCTTTCTATCCCAAACCTCCTCTTCTTATTAAGTATTCTAAACATGGGGGTGCAGGGAGGCTGTAGTTTTACTAAAAAAAAATTCCTTTTAAGGGGAGCATCGTGGGGCCATTTATCAGCATTAAACACTGCACTTGCTTCATGCAAATTCTGACTATAACTTGCACATTTCCAATTCTGCAGTTAAAAAAAGGGAAGCACCTGCCTCAAAGTATGGTGAAACAGATAAAATACCATAATAACATATGAGATATACTTGTTTACACACTCAGACTTCACTTTTTGTCTTTAGTGCTCATTATCTAACTCATTTCCTGTTAGTGTGCCATGAGAAAGATGCTAAGCGAAAGCTGACTCCTGGAAATACTTGACATTCTTTTCAGGCTAATTTTGTCCTGAGCTTGGCTGAAACGACTCATTTGGAACTACTCATAAAAGGATGTCTGCAGCAAGGAAGAGGGARTATTTTCATTTTAGAGGGCCCTGCTGTGTTATATTCCCTGATTTTCATCAAAACCAGACCATGTTTACTTGTCCTTTTGGCCTCAGGGTCAGGGTTTTTTATTTAAATCGCTTCAGTTCTAAGTAGTCGTTTCACTCATTCCTGACTTTCCCACAAAAACCTAAACAGTGGCAGCCTGATATAGCTTGGACCACTTGCCTACGTGCATCTGAAGTAAAAAAAAAAAAAAAACAAAAACACCCAATAAAAAAGACCCCTACCATATACTCTTCAAAAGCAGTGCACAAGCCCACAAACATGCATGAGCTTCATGACACTGGCCAAAGGGATGGTAAGGCTGGAAAAGACCTCTCAGACCATCCAGTCCAACCTGTGACCAAATGYACCATGCCAGCTAGACCCTGGCACTAAGTGCCATGTCCAGTCTTGGCCGGGCATCCCTCTGGAAGGATGGTGACTCCACTGTTTCTGAGCTGCCCATTCCAGTGTGTAATCGCCCTTTCTGTGAAAGGCTCCAAGCTGAGCCCCCCAGCTCCTTCAGCCTTTCCTCATAAGCTTTGTACTCCAGACTCAGAGGAAGAGGAGGGCTTTACATTGGGAAGTAGGGCAGGGATGTGGGGTGGCCCCAGCAGTGAAGGGACTGGTGAGGGGGATGGTGCTATGAGCCCTTGAGGCCATGAAGGCGAAAGGAATCCAGCATGGATTAGGAAGAGCATTGCTAGCAGGTGAGGGAGATGATCGTGCACCTCTGCTCAGTTTTTCTGGGACAGATCTGGAGTGCTGTGTCCAGTTCTGGGCTTTGTGAGAGACATGGAGCTCCTGAAGTGAGTACAGTGGAGACTACGGAGATGATGCAGGGAGTGGAACATCCTTCTGACGAGGAGAGGCTGAGGGAGTTGGAGCTGTTCAGCCTTGCGAAAAGATGACTGAAAGGGAACCTCATCCACATCTGTCAGTGCCTGCAAGGAGGGCTCAGAGCATGGACCAGGCTCTGCTTCATGGGGCCCAGCAAAGACACAAAAGGAACGGGCAGGAACTGATGCCCACCCAGTTCCACATGAACACGAGGAAAAACTTTCCTGTGCAGTTACCAAACCTTGAACAGATTGCCCAGCGAGGGTGTGGAGTCTCCCTCAGTGGGGATATTCCAGAACTGTCTGGACACAATCCTGTGACCTGGGATGGCCCTGCTTGAGCAGAGGAAGGAACCAGATGAACCACTGTGSTCTTTTCCAACCTGAACCATTCCATGATTTTGTGAAGGGGGCTGTGAAGGGCTATGAGGGGGATGATGAAGGGAGTGATGAGGGGGCTGATGAAGGGGCTGTGAGGGGAGTGATGATGAGATTGGGAAGGGATATGAGGGCGGTGATGAAGGGGTTATGAGGAGGCTTTGAGGGGAGTGATGAGAGAGCTGCGAGGGGGTTATGATGAYGGGGTGATGAGGGGCTGATGAGGACGATGAGGGTGTGATGAGGGAGCTGTGAGGGGGATATAAGGAGGGTGGTGATGAGAGGAGCGCTGCTGGGCCGATGCAGGGCTGATGAGGAGGATGAGGGTGTGATAAGGGAGCTGTGAGGGGGATATGAGGAGGGGGTTATGATGAGAGGAGCGCTGCCTGGCAGATGAGGGACTGATGAGGAGGATGAGGGTGTGATAAGAGAGCTGTGAGGGGGATATGAGGAGTGGGATATGAGGAGGGAGTTATGATGAGAGGAGCGTTCCCCGGCGGAGGGGCTCATGAGGAGGATGAGGGTGTGATGAGGGAGCTGCGAGGGGGTTATGATGACGGGGTGATGAGGGGCTGATGAGGAGGATGAGGGTGTGATAAGGGAGCTGTGAATGGGATATGAGGAGCGGGTTATGATGAGCTGACCGTTCCCCGGCGGAGGGGCCGATGAGGGGGTGTCGAGAGGGCGGTGCCGGGGGCGGTCTCTGCCGCGAGGGGCGGGGCTGAGGGCGGGGCCAGATTCCCGCGCGGGGCGGGGCCGCGGCGGTGACGTCACCCCCGCCTGGCAACGGCGTGGGGGCGGTGGCGGCGCGCGGCTCTCGCGGGACTTGGCGCCCCCCGCTGTGGGCGGAGCGGAGCCGCCGGTGCCCGAGCTCGGCGGTGGCGGCGGGAGCGACGGGACGGGACAGGACGGGACGGGACGGGCGAGCGGCCCCTCTGTCCGGGTCGCCTCTGCCCCGGGCCGCCCGCGGCTCGGAGCCGCCCCTTCCACGCCCGTCGCGCCACGGATGGAGCCGCAGTGCCCGGCTTGAGCACGTCGGCGGGACCCGGAGCCGCTCCGCCGAGCCCCGGCGGGCGGGCGCAGCATGGGTGAGCGCGGCGGGGCGGGCGGCGGGACCGGCCCCCTCTTCCCGCTTCTCCGGGGGCKCCTTCAAAGCCCTTTGTCTCAGGGGAGGGCGCGGACCCCCGGGGCCCGCGGCAGCTCCCGAGGTGCCCGGAGCGGGAGCGGTGCCGGTACCCGGGGCCGGTGGAGGAGCTGCCGGGCCCGGCAAGTGCGGCAGGTGCTCGGTGAGCGCTCCCTCCTGAGAGAGGCCGGGGCCGCTCCGTCCCGCCCGGCCGGTCCCGGTCCCCGTCCCGGTCCCGGGGGAGCTGCGGAGGGGCCCGGGCCGGGAGGAGGAGCCGGGGGGTCCGCGGGTTTCGGTGGTGCGAGCGAGGTGTCCAACAATGCCCGGTGCTGCTTGGAGGGAGTGACTTGGTGGAGCATAAAAGTTTTTATAGTTAAATCCAGCCCTTTCGC